ATGCAACCACAACATGCTTCTCTACATCACTACTTCCTTCATGCAAATTGTCAGAATCACACTTGCCAGCTCTACACTTTGTCTCTGGCAAGACTCCCTTCTCAACATCCTCTAACTTATTCTCATTACTTTCAGCCAAAGAGTAGAATCGCTCATTCTCTGGCTCAGACCCATAATCCACTTGTTCAACATCTCCGCTGTCGCCCTCATTTTCTTCCCAAGGGTATGGTTCCCTCAACTCTCCATCCTCAAACTGGGAATCATAACCAGATTGGCACTCCTTCCCATTTCGGGCAGAGGCTTCAGCCTTGGGCCCAGACGGGGATGGAGAATTCGTCTGCAAATCTGATGCAATCAGGTCAGCCACATAGTCCTTACTACCATCAACATGTCCATTCCCTGTAACAGACTCAGTGACTTCTCTATCAGAATATCTTCGGGATGCTTCATCGACTACATCACCAGGTTGACCCCATGCATCTGTTGGAAGATTTAAATCCCAGAGTAACCTATCATCTGTAAGACATTCAGTGCTCTTACCCATTCCAGTGCGCTCATCATCAGATAATTTCTCTGACATATTGACAGTCTCACTATGTGGTGCTAAATTTCCGCTATCACCAGCTTCCTTAATTTCCTTTGGCCTTTCTGTTGAGGATTCATTTGAAACAGCAATGCTGATGTTCTGAGCCACTATCAAACCACTAGATGCTACTATACTATGTTCTTCACTCTGATCAGTAGCCAAAGCATTACCCAAAGTATCATTCAGAACATTTGGAGGCACTATGATTTCGCTCTTGTCTTCCCCAACCTTGTCACTGGATTCAATTGTAGTATCTTTCCCAGAGACATCGACAATGCCAGTTGATGAATCATTACTTTCCACATGAGTAGATAAGGTCAAAGCATCTTGCTGCTGAACAAGTTCAACAGGCTGACTGTCTGCTGCGGATGCAATATCACTAATCATACCACTACTGCAAGCAACTTCTGCAAGTATCTTAATACCAGAGAAGTCATGACTGCTGCAATCGGGTTTATCATCAGAGACTTCTGCTGTTTTCCGTCCCATTAAATTAGGGTTCAAAATCGAAACAGGCAGAGCATGGTTGGTCTCTAAACGATGTTTTGAGCCTTCACCACGAGCAGATGACTTATTCAAAGGTGATGGAGAGGGAACCATAAATCTCCGTTTCTTTATCGGAACATGCTCTACTCTTTCTGCAAAATGCTGGCCCAGAACAGAAACGCCAAGCTGCCATTACGAAAGAATCAAGCATTAGAATAACGAGGCCGACAAAATCCCATCAGAATCAGGGAAGATAGCAGAACAAAATGGGAAGAGAAACTGAGGAAAACCTTTTCCGATTCTGAATCTCCTTCCGCTGCTGTACCTGCTGAACTCTTATAATCTACCTCAATATCTGGGGCTGCAGCTAGTGCAATTTGTTTCTTAGTCCGCCTTGTCGAACTCCTGCTACCTTTAGTAGCCACCACTTTCCAAGGAAGACCAGTATCGATGGTAGCCTTAACCTCTACACTGCGAGTGCTTGTCATACTTTCAGTGTAATCCCATACACAAGTAGAAATCTTTTTCTTCACTTCTTTATCACTTGACCCACAAAATTAAGGGTGTATGCCCAGTGTAATCCTCACCTGAAAGTAACAATCTTCATAAGAAAGCCATAAAAACAACAAAAGCCATGACCAAGAGATACTGCTACGAAGATTGAGTCACAGCAGAGAAAAAATCATTTCAAACAGCCAGTTTAAGATGCTACAAGCCCCTACACTCCTACAGTTTTTAAGCTTGAAAAATCCTTCTGCTTGGTATGTTTAAACTTGATAATAACAGGCAGAGAAGTCCCAAGAAATCTTTTGTTGTCCCATACGAAAAGAAGATCGGAAAATCAGTTTATTGTTTTAAAGTCCTAAATCTAACATGTAAGGCCGTACATAGGCAAATCAAAAGTCATCCGCTTCGTTTTGCTCTTTCAAGCAAAAAGGTCAAAAGGGTGAGGAAGAAAAGAGCTCAGATTTGAGTCCGCTAGCTCAGGCCAAACCCATAAAACACGAAGAAAGAATGATCTTAAGACTTTCCCGACTATGTATGAGTCACAAAATTAGCGATCCGTCGTTCCTCTTCTGTAGTCCAAGCATTTAGCATCAGTAATCGGTAAAAGGAACGAAGATCTTCTCAGAAATCGAAGCCGACATTAACCCAAGCATAATCGAAAATCGAATCGTGTGGACATGTCAAAGATCTCTCATCCTCTTGAAGAAACAGACAGAATCAACCATATAGAAAGAGCAGAAATCAAAGAGCTAGGGTTTTCATATACCTGTAGACCAAACTTTTAAATCATCACTCAAAACACCAAAACCGCCATCGATGTGAGATATAGATAGATCAGATCAAAACTCCTCCAGATGATTTCGATTTCACACAAATCCGTAACGCACGGTTTCGATTTCTTAAACGTCAACACCTTCAACTTCTTCCTCGATTCGATAAATCAGTGCCAAAGTCTCGGTCAGAAAACAAAAATCCACAGGAGAAGGATCGATCAAACTTCAAAGGGATGATGAAATTGGGAGAATCGAGTAGCTAGCCGGAGATCAATAAAACGCAGTGAAGAAAGAGAGAATCTTCTCCGATCAGAGGAGGCGGCGAAGCTAGGTCTTCTTCTTCTTCTTTCACAGAGCACAATTATAAAAATATTATCTTTCTTTTTTATTTTGTCTTCCTTTTCGAGCTTTCTTTCTTTGGATGAACAGCGCAGAGCCTCGTGCCCTATCACCACGTATTTATCATCCTTTTATATACCGACAATACCCTCGACGGTAATGATAAATTTACGATTTTGCCATCGTGATGGTCTTGGGCTTTTTTTTGGTGATTTCCTTTTCTTTGGGAAATTAATTAATATTTGCATATATGGAAATAATTATTTGAATTTTATTGTTAAAAAGATTAGAATGAAATTCTGGAATTTGGCTGCTGTATGTATCTAGAAAAGTCAATGGTCAAACAGAGACATGGCCTCGTGGAATTTTTGAGTGGCTCTCTCCTCATGTGGACAGTGGACAATTCTTTGAGTTTACTTTTCTCTGGCTGTTTCCTCAACTTTTTATATCTTTCCACTTCTGGCCCCTTAGCTTACGTATGCGAATATAGCCTCATATGATTTCTTTTTAAAATTTCAAAGGTTTTAATAGAGCAGGTTTGGACAATTTAAATTAATTTGATCTCATATGGTCTTACATTGCATGTTTTAAGTCATGTAAACAAAGATAATTAAAATGAATTATGATTTGGTAGCATCAAATTATTAAGAAGAAACATTAGGTAAAAGGGAATTGACTTGGAGCAGAGAAGATAAAGATATGATCTACTAATAAAGTCTAGAGTCAATACACATGTATATATATACCCAGTGGATACTATTTTGCTCTTAATGGGCTTATTATTGACGTTTGATCCACGGCAAGAACCCCACCCATTCTTTATTACAGAGGAAAAGATTCGTTACACTAATTGAGTAATTCCAATTTTTGCTTCTAGGTGTGGGGTATAAATTCTAAATCACATCACCGAGGAAAGAGACTTATACTAAAGCTCCAAACTAAAGCATTCTTTTATAAACCCATTATTCTAAATACATGTTAAGGCGCTAAGTTAACTTTGATTCCATCTATACATTATAGAGCGGTTCCTGAAAATGAGGAAGCTAAGGTTTAAGACAAAGAATTGTGGATAAAATACACTGCTTGGCCTAAGATACAGTATTAAACATTATCGGAGAGTAACCTAAAAAGAAACCGTAAGTTAAATCACACTAAAATATAGAACGAACCTACGTTTCTGCCTCAATCGAATCCAAAATGCAGGTCATATGTATTTTACAGAGTTGTACTGTTTTGGTAAAACATAGTACAAGGACGGCCAAAGGTTATATTACTAGCTTATATTCAAGTTTCTTGCCTCCTCAACACTGTGACACGGGCTAGTTCATGGATGACTACCGAGACCGATTCCTAACCACACCTCCTATGATTTGTTATGTTCAAATACCTCTGATCTGATTTGTAAAATGTCGGCCCATTTAGAAAAAATATTAGCATTAATACTCACTAGAAGAAGTAACTATAAAAGCCCATATGCTAAAATGAAATCTCAACGATACTTATGAAAAATGAAGGCTTCAACGCAAAATAACTCTAAAGGTAAGCTGATTACGGACGTGAGAGACTAATTTACTTCTTCTAATCAACGACATGGAAAAAGGATTATGTTCCATGGGTTCGAAATTTTCATGGTTATCCAAAAAAGATTTATTATTATGTTTTGTTTTTGTCAATGGTATCAAGTGTATCCTCCTAAGATACAAAATCGAAATGGGCCGGGCCATTTCTGGTGAACTGACTGACTGGGCTTGGTTAACATGAAATCATCATGCACATATAAAAATAGTCGGTCAATGGAAAATCCGAAAACGTCATCATCATCTGTTTGGGTTGATGACAAAGGTTTTAAATGATAGAGAGCAGGGTCAATAAAAATACAAAACGATGAAGACAAAGAAACAAGAAAGTTGGACCACTGGACTATGAATATTCCGTAGAAACGCAATTACAAAAGATCTTCTCTCCGACTCTTCCACCTATATTCATTTCATTTGCATACGTAGCCTAACTGGCTAACTCACATCTTTTTGGCTTCTAGAAGCCTTGTAAAAAAATCACTAAACGGAATCACCTATTTTTGGAAACGACAACTTTCCATTTCGGTACCTAATATCCATTTTTATCCGAGCTTATAGTTGGAATAAGCAATTTTCCTAACTTATATATTCATTTCATTGGCTTCCAGCTATCTTGGGAAGTTTGCTTTTCTTGACCACTTTATAAACAAAATCAGTATCCCTTGTGTCAAATGTAGAGTTTTGTTTGGCTTTCTTGACTGCAGTAGTGCCTTCAGCTTTTGTTTTTGAGTATGAGAACGTTTTGTTTGTATCTTATCTTTCCGGAATCTAGTCTTTTTCAATATACTGTAGTACTAATTTATGGGCTAGATGTCAAAAAAGAGGATTAATTAAGCCTATTGCATAAATTCTCTGTTGTTTTAAGTTATATGCCAAGTGACAAAACTAAGTAGCTACACCAAAATGACATTTGCTTTCGCGTATAACTATGTTATTTTATAAAATATCACATTTTTAGATAAGATATCATTATAAGTGTAGTATATGCTACATTTAATTGCACATGTAAATTTAATACCGTGAAAACATGTAAATTTTTTTTTTTTTTGGGTCATAAATGTAAGTTATATAATATCACTCACTAGAAAAGTATTGAATCCCATAAAGTAATAACTATTTTCATGTGATTTTCAGATTTGGTCTCTACCAAACATATTTTTTGGGGGGTAAAATCTCTACCAAACTTTCAGAACCATACCCAAAGTAAAATACTTGTATCTTATGATGGAAAAAGAAAAGCATCTAAGAGAGACACGACGCCATCATAGCTGGAAGAGTTTCTCTTTGGATATGCTTCGAATAATAAATATGTAAGAATGGTGAAATTGTATATATTAATGTATAGAGAGGCCTCTATATATAGGCTTACAAGAGAAGATTCTAGAGGATATACACTAGAGATTTCCATAACAAGATTTGGAAGATTGACATTTATCTATTACTCTAACATGCCCCCTCAAGATGGAGAACCATTGGTTACTCCAATCTTGAACCGAAGATCTTGGAAGCGAGCCCGTGGTAGCGGTTTAGTAAGACCGTCGGCGAGTTGATCAATAGAATTGACATGGAGAACACGAAGAACACCGGCTTGAATAAGTTCACGTACAAAATGATAATCCAACGCAAGGTGTTTCATACGAGAGTGAAACACAGGATTAGCACATAAGTATGTGGCTCCAATATTATCACAATAAACCCTGGGAGCTGTTGGAGTCCGGATACGAAGATCAGATAAAAGAGATAGAACCCATTTGACTTCAGAAGCTGCCTCTGTAACCGCTCTATACTCTGCCTCAGTAGACGAACGAGAGACTCCTTTTTGCTTTTTAGACGACCAAGAAATTGGATGTGAACCAAGATAAACAATATATGCCCCCGTAGAGGAATAGTCATCTTTGTCTCCTCCCCAATCCGCATCAGAATAGGCAGATAGTTCTAAGGAAGTATTCGCCGAAAACCACAAACCATGTTCAACAGTCCCGGCAAGATAGCGCAGCACTCTCTTAACAGCATCCCAATGAACAGTAGTCGGAGAATGCATAAACTGAGATAAACGATTGACCGCAAAGCCAATGTCAGGACGTGTGAGAGCAAGATATTGAAGACTTCCTACCGCAGCACGATACTCCGTCGGATCAGATAATTTAACACCATCAGACACGGTGAGAGTTGTGGAAGAAGCCATTGGTGTAGGAACCGGTTTAGCTCCAATCATGTGATACTTGGTGAGTATATCTGTGGTGTACTTGCGTTGGTTCAGCCTAATGCCCGCAGAGCTACGAGTAACCTCAAGACCAAGGAAGTAAGAGAGAGCACCCATGTCTTTTAACGAGAACCGCTTGGAGAGAACTTGAATGAAACGATCAATAGCCAAAGCACTGTTTCCGGTAAGAACAATATCATCAACATACACTAACATGTAAATGATGATGTCTCCCATGTGAAAAACAAACACCGACGCATCCGCTAAGGAATTAACAAATCCATTGCTAAGAAGAAAATCCCGCAGCTCATTGTACCATGCTCTAGGAGCCTGCTTCAAACCATATATCGCTTTGTGTAAACGACATACATAATGTGGTTTGTCTTTGTCAATAAATCCCGGTGGTTGACTCATATACACCTCTTCTGTAAGTTTCCCTTGTAAGAAGGCATTGTTGACGTCAAGTTGCCGTAATACCCAATTTTTCCGGGCAGCAAGTCCAAGAACCACCCGTATCGTAACATGTTTGATAACAGGGCTGAAAGTTTCTTGAAAATCTATTCCCGGGCGTTGATGAAAACCTTTTGCAACAAGTCTCGCCTTAAACCGGTCAATTGTCCCATCGGCTTTCCTTTTGATCACAAAAATCCATCGATTGCCTACCACATTTGATGCATTACGAGGATCAACCAATGTGAACGTACCGTTACGTACAATAGAATCAAACTCTTCTCCCATAGCACGTCTCCATCGTTCATCTTTCAAGGCTTGAACATGGGACGTTGGTTCAACTTCCTCAAGCTTTATATTGTTTGCAAACTTTCTGTTAGGTTTCTGAATATTATTCTTTGCTCTTGTAACCATTGGATGAATATTGCTTGGAACCATGGCAGGAGTAGGATTTTCGACCACGGCATTGTTCTCAACATTGGACGTCTCTAGGGAGTCAGAATTGCCATTCTCATTTGGTGAAGAATCATTGTCGGACGGTGCTGATTCTGTTGTTGTTGGTGAAGAATCCAAACTGGGGGGCGAGCGGGTGATGAGTGGCTCACGATAGACCCGAGCTGTGGAAACAGGATGAAAAACAGAGGAAGAGGACTCATGGGAAGTGTTAGTGGAAGATAAAAATGAAGATAAAGGAAATTCATTTTCATGGAATTCAACATGACGAGAGACAAATATTTTGGATGTGGAAAAATCATAACATAGGTAGGCACTTTGTGTAAGAGAATATCCAAGAAAAATACATGGAGTGGAACGAGGTGAGAGCTTGTTTTGTGAATAAGGACGAAGCCATGGATAGCAAAGACAA